GCACCAGCAGCACCAGCAGCACCAGCACCAGCAGCAGCAGCAGCAGCAGCAGCTGATGCTGCTGCATGTGTGGTGAGGGTGTGTCAATTGGGGGCAGCAGCAAACTGCCCCGGGGCTGTTGGTGGGCCCCGCGAGCAGCAACTTTTTGCATGCGTTGAGGTGTATGTACACCTCGAGTATGCATGCATACTCTTGTATGATTTGAGGTGTATATACACCCCAAATATGCATGCATACTTTTGCATGCATTGAGGTGTATATACACCTCAGTGCATGCATACTTTTGCATGCGTTGAGGTGTATATACACCCCAAATATGCATGCATATTTTGGTCTGCGTTGAGGTGTATGTACACCCCACCGCCACCGCAGCGAAGAATTTCTTTGGTTTCAACTGCAGAGCCAAAGTAGAAGAGTTAAGGACAGGGAGCGGGCTGTTCTTTGTCTCCCTCTTACATGCATGCAGCAGCAGCAGCAGCAGCAGCAGCAGCAGCAGCAGCAGCAGCAGCAGCAGCAACAGCAGTAGTAGCAGCAGCAGTAGCAGTAGCAGCAGCAGTAGTTGGAAGCACGCGTTCGTTGCTCTTATATTAAATTCCTTTTCTTGTATACATGCAAGGATTGTTATCTGCAGCAGCAGCAGCAGCAGCAGCAGCAGCAGCAGCAGCAGCAGTTACTGCTGCCTCAGGCTGTGTGTGGGCCCCTCATATATTTGCTGCTGCTGCAGCTGTCTTCAGGCCCCACCGAAGCACTGCAGCAGCGAGCAGCAGCAATTATATAAAATATATATTACACAGACAGACAGCAGCAGGAGAAGTGTTTATAGATATGTAAATATATGTAGTTTTATATTACTATATAATTACATATGTATATATATATATACATATAATTACATATATATATATATATATATGTATATATATATATAGCATGCGGATGTGTATACACCAGTGGTGAGGCCGCGCTGCCCCCCGCGGTGTACGTACACCTCAGCTCCACCAACAACACAAGGGAAGCAATGGAGCCGTTTATTTTTAATTTTTTATATAATATAATATAATATAATATATATTATTTTAATATAATATAATTTTAATTTAATATAATATAAAAGAGCATTCGTTAGTAAACTCTTGCTGCAGCACACATACACCTGCATGCGTGCTGCCTGCTGCCTGGTGTATTCTGTGTATTCTGCATGCTTCAGCGCGAGAAAAAAAAACAGAAAAGAAAAAATAAAAACATTAAATATAAATAAAAATATAATTAATTAAATAATTTAATTGATTTGCTAGTACAAGCAATCCGTGGTTCAGGGGGGGGGGGGCCCCAGGGGCCCCCCAGCCACCAGTGCAGCTGAGCCGCCGACCGCATTCCTGTGGTGTATAACATGAAATAAATATATGAATTACAAAATTATAATTATTATTTTAATTTAATATTTATTTTATTGTAATATTTCTCGTTTATTTGGTGTTTCTCTGAGTTTGTTGGGGTGAAACCGCTGCCGACGCAGTGTAGCTGCTGCTGCTTCACTGCGGATGCTCATTGGGTGTTACAGCAGCAGCAGCAGCAGCAACAGCAGCAGCAGCAGCAGCAATAACAACAGCAGCAGCAACCACAACAACGACAGCAGAAGCAGCATCCGCAGCAGCAGCAACACTAGCAGTGGCTGCAGCAGCAACAGCAGCAGCATCGTTATACATTTCTGCTTGCTGCTGTTTCAGTATAAAGCAGCAGCAGCAGCAGCAGCAGCAGCAAAGCCTTTGTTGCTGCAGCTCGATGGTTGTTTTTTTTTTTTATGTGAGTGTGTAAAGCTATAGGGGATGGAGGAGAGGGGGAGAGCAGCATCTCGACTATCTTTTTTTTTTTCTTTTTTATTTAATTTATTTTTTTTATTTTTTCAGGTTTCTCTGTTTCTTTTTGTTATAATACAAACAATATGCTGGCTCTCCGGCTGGCCGCTCCCTCTCCTTAACATGCATTCAGTGGGGCTGCTGCCCCCATCATCTTTTGCTGCAGACAGCAGCAGCAGCAGCAGCAGCAGCAGCAGCAGCAGCAGCGGCAGAGTCTACTCCCTCAGTCCTGCTGTACAGGTATTTCATATAATAATCTATAAACTGCACTTGTTTATCCATTATATAACTTTATATATATATATATATATATATATATATATATATATATATATATATATATATATATATATATAT